CCCCCCCCCATTTCCTAGTGCTAGGTAATAGGTGAAACTGCCAACAGAGTCTCTCTAGGACTTACCTTTTTAGGCTCATGTTTCTCAACCTCAGCAACTTGGAGACGGGTGGACTTCAACTCCCAGATTTCCCCAGCCAGCTGGGGGTCGAAGTTCACCCATCTTAAAGTCGCTGAGGTTGAGAAACGCTGCTTTAGGTGAAAGAGAGCCAAAGAAACTCACTTCAATTTGGGGAGGGGGCAGCTTCCCTAAGATAATTTCGGTGGAGTGGCCCGCAAGTAGCTTTGGCGTGCTGAATGTGCGCTCCACAACACACACTTTGCCTACTCAGAAGGACCGTCTAGGATGGTGTTTCCCAACCTGGGCAACTTTAAGATATGTAGACTTCAACTCCCAGCACTCCCAGGCATCTTAAAGTTGCCCAGGTTCAAGGATTTGGAAGTCGGGTTGCAGCCTCTGATTATGGCACAAGTTAAACGCTGATTGACGTTAAAAACCGCTTGCTGAAGAAAAGCCCCCAAAGTGCAAAGAATAATACCTCGCTAGTATTGCTTCTAATCCCTCCTGCCCTGCCCCATCTCCACCACCAAATACTTCATTTTAAAGCCAGCGAATTTACTGACAGCCGATCGTCGCAGCCTCCGTCTTCTGAGGCTTGCACGAGCAGTTGGGACGAAGAGGAGCTCAGGGAAGAATACGCGGATCAGCACCAGAGTTGCAGTAGAAAAACGGTGACAAGACGGGAGGACCGAGTTGAAACATGCCGAACCCTGGAAAAGGCTGCCTCCCACTGTCCTGAGCACGCCCACTTTCCCATCAGCCGAACGATTTTAGGCTGGAATTGGGACCCCCAACTCCCAGGCAGAACCGGCTCTTACATCGGAATTAGGCTTCAAACAACCTCTTTATCTTCCCAACAAAAGCTGACCTATTCCTTCCTTCCAACCTCCTGTCCTACACATTAATGAAATACTCATTCAGTGATTCAGACTTTGTATTCAGTGATACAAAGATCAAAAATAGCATTACACTAGATTTTTCAGCCATGTTTTTCAGCCCTGCCTTTCAAATGAAGCCCCCGAATGAACAATAATCACATGTCTTTGTGCGTACAGGGTAAGGAGGAGACTATTACAACAGGGATCTGATTATTTTCGTCTACGCTCACATTTGTGAAGTCCATGAAGTAAAGTGTGCATCTCTCCTTGGGCGGGTTTTAATTCCCCTCCCCAGAAGATCACACACACACAAATGCAGTTGGGCACCACAACTGTACAGACTAGAAGGGAACTTCCCTTAAATCACCGCTGACACATTAGAAACGTATTAACAAAAATCCTACCTTCAGATACGGAAGATTGGAAAGACAGCTTCCAAGTTTATACAAAATAAGAAGAAATCTCTATGTACAGATCACATCAAATTGTGAAAGCAGAGGCTACAAAAATAACTCCTGGTGTTTGGTACCTCCCCTCCTCCCCTCAGATTTTTCAGCTTTTAAAAACAAAAACTTTCAGAAGCATCAGAAGGCTAAGGGTTTTCCGGACCGCGTGACTACTTTCCAACCGGGGTGGGGGGGTTGGGTGCGTGTGCGCCTGGCGGCATACACGAGC